GGCTTAGGTTAAAAAATTAGAATTTCTGGTTAGATAAGGAGTTTATTTCCTATGGCTCTCAACATCTTGTAGGATGTTCTGGTAATGCTTCTCTGACTTGGCTGCTTCTATGAAATCAGCACTTAACTTTATACTGTACTTGGCACTGTCATTGACAACATTTAAACAGGTTGTTATCTTTTTTGATATCAGGAACGCTGGGTGGCCTGGCCAATTTTCTATGTCATCGTTTAGAAAATCTATGTCCATTTCCAAAAGCTGGACAATAAACCATGAATCACCAGTAACCAAATCGCCAAGTCTTGTTCTTTCAGTTATAGCATCAGGAAACTTTGGTTTACCAAATCCTGTCCCGAAACGATCTTGGAGAAGCTTCAAATCATCAGGTGGTTTTACTGCTAGCAACTTCTCTACTAAGAACTGCATTTTAGGTTTAGAAGTACCATTACTGAAAATAGCTAGTGTAACAATTTCTGGACACAAATACCACAAGTGACGTTTCAGAGCTTTTACAACACTGCCAGCTATATCAGAACTGATAGCTGTGTACTTGAGAAGATTTTGATATAAACTCAAATCATTGTACATTTCCAAATCATCTACAGCAGATCCACAAGTCATCCACTAGTTGCATATATTAAGCACACAAAATTAGTGAAACTGCGCAATTTTAACTGCTGAGAAACAGTAATGATTGGTCCCGGATGCATCAAATAGATCTGCTTTTCAAAGAGGACCATTTTGATGGAGTACAGAATTTTGGACATCCATCGGGCATTGTGCACTGCTCCAGATCGACGAAATTGAAAGTTTCTCTCACTTCTACTGAGGTACAACAAACATAATTCACTGAATTCCTTTTAGTCCTCACGTTGATGTTCTGCTGTAGTCATAGCAAATTCAATTGCACTGTCTTTCCATTGCGTAATGTTAGAAAAAGTTTCAGCGACACTGAATTAAGAGGGGGTTGAGTCAAATAGACTGAGGATTTTATCACTTCAATGAGAAATTTTGTTAAATTGTTTTTTGAATTTACTGAAGACAGTATTTTTTGGTGACCTGGATGTTCTATGTGCAAATCGTCAGAAACTTGTGTAAGGATAACATAAGCAGGGAAACATAAGCTGCACTCACGTGTTCAGTGTTGCTGGCAGTAGTATCAAATATCATGTTTACTACTGTGTCAACACATTCCCATGAATGCAGTAATTCCACAGTGGCACTAGCAATCATGGTGCCACACCGCTTGTCTGTTCCGGGCTGATATGCTGGAACTCCAAGTAGTTCGTTGCTGGTATTATTCCCGACATGCAACAAGTCGTTCAGCTAAATCATATGTTGTCCGGTTCACAATTAGCTTTGAATTCCAGTGTGAGGAAGCATATCTTGGTGGAACCCAAAACAAGACATGCATAGACAAGATATACGTATTATTTTTTACAAGTAAATATAAAATTAAGAACTATATAAGAATTAAAAACTGTATATTTCAAATATATTATATGAATAAAAGCAGTATTTTTAGCTGACTCATATGCGGCATTGTGCATGATATTTTTGTGTAATTTTTTCATAACTTTGAGATCCTTGTGGACCCATTAAGAATAAAATTATTTAGAAAATATTTCACACAGTAACTCTTTTCTACAAAAGGCATATGCTAAGTTACCAGCCGTGACAAATTATTTCCATGAGGGCGTTTGATGCACCATAAAGTACGCTTGTCATAGATAATGAGTAACAGGGTTTTATTGTGCATTTAATTATTTGACAATGACCATATTTTATTCCATTTTATAAATAGTGTCACTGATTTCCTGTTATAAAAAGTTTTAATTGTTATTTTTAACATTATCAAAATTAATAGTATTATTATTAAAAATTGTTGGTAGATTATTGTTGGTGGTGATAATGCTGAAGTCGAAGATATTGTTGAAATCGATGTTGTTGAGATGTTGAAGGCAAGCACTACTCTGGTAAGGATGACGACGGCGATATGAGATGACTTTTTTCGTGATGTTGCTTGTCGATGTTGAGTTAGTTGGTGGAGGTGGAGAAGCAGCAACCACCCCAAGAGGATGTGTTGAAACGTGTGACCTATAAGTGTGAGTGAGGTCCAGGTTTACATTAATCCTATATATTCTGTCAAGGTTGTGACCTTGGTGGGTGGGACCCCAGAATATAGGGTGTAGACCTTTTTGAAGGATGGAATGATGGTCGAGTTGATTGAAGTCGCCCCCAATGATGAGTTTTGAGTTGCTCCCCAATTTAGGAAGTTCATCGATGTAACCCATCAAGGAAGAGACTTCGTATGATGGATGATTTGCTGGATGATAGATGATAGATGGCGCAGATGAAGTGTGGTTTACGGTCAATAATGCACTTGAAACACACACACATCACATCTCAAATGCTCAATAGCATGTGGCTTGACAATGCTAGTGACATTCAAAATGTAGATGGTGGGTGGATGATGACATGGGGCGATTTTGGATGGGTTGTAAGTCGGGATAAGTTTGATGTTGATGAGATTGGGATGATTAGGTGAGGAGCGTCGACTGGGGTCTGCTTTTTTTTACGGGTTGATGAAACTACTACTGGTATTGCTGACGATGAATTAGTGTTCGATAGATGAGCCGGGGGGGGTTGTTGATGTTGAAGTTGTTGTAGAGTGCTGTAGCGATTGAAGTAGGTGAGCCGGGGGTGTTGATGTTGGAGTTGTAGAGTGCTGTAGCGATTGGGAAAAGAGGAGAGGTGCTGATGTTGGTGATGATCTGGGTTCCAAATTTTGTTGAGGAAAAGAGTTTTTCTAAGCGGTCTTTTGATGGCGAATTTGTCGGGTTGAAGATCAAGCAGTTGTTGGCGTGTGTATTGGACCATCCGCTTGATGATGTGAGCGATAATTAGTTACGAGCGGTTAAAAGTAAAAACGGGCGAAAAAAAGTAAAATTAATAGAACAGAAAACTAGAAGTTTAATTGAAAAAATTGAAATTAACTAAAAATAAAGTGAAATCGTTATTTAAATTAAATTAAATTAGAATGTTTGCCGATAGATAAACACGCGCATGCACGCACCACCGTAAACCAAAATAAAAACTTAGATTCTTAGATTCAATCATCGCCATTAACAGAAGAATGACAACATAAATGAAGAATACGATACCACCTAATAAACTTTGCTAAAGAACTTTACTTTGTTTAAAGAAACTTTATAAACCAAACCTACACTGAAGATGATTTATAAAAAATTGAAATATGGCCTTATCTGCATGATGAATTCGGATAACAACAGTTTCATTAAATATTCATGATGAACTTGGATAATTATATTTTCAACAAATTGAACATTTTCCAGAAAAGTCTAGTATAGATATATATATATATAAATAAAAATCACAGCATGTTCGGCGTTAGTTAACTTCCAATTTAACTTTTCGATTTTTCTAACGGTTGATCGTAAATCATTTTCAAGTTTCTTTAGTTCAAAACCAAAATTTTTGTTTATTTTATGCATGATAAAACAAAAAAGCTTTTTTCGGTATTCCTATACCATCTTCGGTGTTCAAATATTGATATGTTGTGTTTGTGCCCAAATGCTCACATATATATACACAAATTTCTTTGAATATGTTTGCCCATTTTGCATTTATTAATTTCTTTGAAATTGAATCAACACGATGTAATTGTTGCAATTAATATTTATTAAAAACTTGTGCCATGTCGTGGCTAACAACGTTGTTTCGGCTAGGTAGCCATCATCAGAGCCTAAAATTAGTGAATTGTAAAAATTTTCAATAAAACAATGACCAGGATGCAGTTCTGAATCAAGTATTGTTGTATTGGCATCCAAGATGGTTCTTGTGAGAGGCATCTTGTGTACGGTACCCATATGTTCTTTATCGCACCATCTTGTACATGCATGGTGAGCCTTCGGGAGAGAGTAGTGCGTGTGTGACCGATATAACTTTCTACAATTTTGTGTGGCATAGGACAGGTAAAAAGATACACAATGCTTGTCCTTTCTAACGTAGGTGTTGGTGAATTATTGCTGTTTTTATGACGGGGTTCGAAGTACGATTAGTGTTGTAAGATATAATGAATTTTAAATAATTGTTTTTATTGCAGACAGAAATGTTAGCTTTTATAATTCGTTTAAGCTGTGATTCATCCACTTTGTTGTGGTATATATATATATTGAAAAATCGAAAAAACGAACTACAAACATATTAACGCCAAACATTCGGTAGAATTTATTGAATATTGGAATATATATATATATACACATATATGTGTGTGTGCGTGCGTGTGTGTGTGTGTGTGCACCTCTACTCTACTTTGTTGATTCCTTGTTTGTTTAAAGTGAATATAAATCAACTTAACTCAATTTAACGAACAATAGTCATAGTCGTCAGTTTTTATCATATTGCGATTTAGTATGAAAAACCTTAAAACAAAGTAATAAAAAATTTTTTAAAGTTAAAATAGTTTCATACCCATTTTGACGTTTTTGTGCTCCGACTCACTCCCGCTCTTCCCTTGGTACGTCACTGACAGCAAGTCACAAAAAAGCACTCAGCAAATTTTAATAATTTCAAAATTCGTTTCTTCTCATCTTTGTCAAAAAATGTGTTCACTCCACTAAACTGTCATTTTCAATAAACTTTTTGTTTTATTAAGCATCAATTTATGTTTTTTTACAACAAATTTTTTTTAAAGGAGAAAGATGATAAAAAAGAAAAGAAAGACAAAGTTGATAAAAAGAAAGATAAAGAAGAGCAAACTGATAAAGTTGATAGAAAAAAAAAGAAAGATAACACGAGCACAAAGGAATCAAGCAAAAAAAACGAAAAGGACAAAGCTAAATGGAAACAGAAACTTTTGCAAAAACAAGATGAAATGGGTCAGCTTTTCCAATTCGTTATTGAACATCATATTTTCATTAAAATTTTTTTGTTAGTTATTAAACAGTGAAAAAAATAAATGCCCCATAGTGATCATTATGAATGCAGAAGAACAAAAGGCAGTGTTTGGAGTGCCTCTACAAATTGCTGTTGAAAGAAATCCAAGTCATGATGGTGTACAGCTGCCTGCTGTTGTCAGGGAATGCATTGATTATATCTCGGAATATGGTTTTCATAAAATTGTTTCCTCTTTTAAATATTTTCTTATGTTTTTATCATGTTGAATGTTTTGTATATTTATTTTGTGAAAAAGCAATTTTTTTATGTAAATATAATTTTAATATGCTCACAGTAACAGTATCATCTGTTAGAACACTCCCTGAAAATTGTCGAGAAAATCATTGAGAAGATTAACGTCGTGCATCACAATCGGAAATTATCAATTTGGTTTCCAAGCGGGGAAATCAACAATTGATGCAATTCACATCCTTCGGCAACTACAAGAGAAGTACCTCGCAAAGCATTAACAACTATCACACATTTTTGTAGACCTTGAAAAATCATTTGATCGAGTTCCCCGTGAAGCAATCAGGTGGAGTCTACGTCGACAACTCATTCCAGAATATCTTGTTCGACTTGTGATGGAAATGTATACGAATACTAAGACTTTTGTCAGCACAACGGTTGGAAACACAGATGCATTTGACATCGGCGTTGGAGTTCAACAAGGCTCGATTCTCAGTCCACTGTTATTTATAACTGTGATGGAAGAAATCACAAAACCGATACGCACTGGTGACATTTGGAATCTAATATATGCTGATGATATCGTTTTAACAGCCACGTCTGAGCAGAATGCAGCTCAGATGTTTGAAGATTGGAACACCAGACTCGCCGATCATGGATTCAAAGTCAACATCAGCAAAACCAAAGCAATGAACACTGGTGAACCCATCCAATCCACAGCTACTGGACGATGGCTCTGTTCAGTTTGTGAAGCTGGTGTAGGTAACAATTCAATCTTTATAAATCTGTGATACGTCCGGTGTTGTTATATGGTGCAGAAACATGGCCAATGACAATCAAATTGGAACAACAACTTCAACGAACCGACATGAAAATGCTCCGATGGATGCAACGAATTAGTCTGTAGGACCACATCAAATCTACCGAAATCCTGCGTCGTGCCGGTTTAGATGATATAAAGGACGAATGCCGGCAACACCGTCTGCGGTGGTTTGGTCATGTCAATCGAAGTGGAAACAGTGCCATAACTTCTCTTGCAGATGTTGAAGTACCTGGCACACGTCCCAAAGGCCGTCCAAAGAAGTCCTGGTCTCAAACAATCGAGCAAGACATGAAAGCTCTAAATTTAAATGAAATGGATACAACTGATCGTCTAATTTGGCGCAAAAAGTTGATGGCAAAGAAAACAACGTCCTACCTCGGGAAACCGGGTCTCTGGACGCAAAACGAAGAATGATTGATTGATTGACAGTAACAGAACTTATGTTTTTGTTTTGAACTCATGTTTTTTGTTGTTTTTGATGATATAATTTAAAAAAATTGCCATGGAGGTTTTTCAATAAAATGTACTCAGACACAAGTAGTTACTCAAACATATGTAACTGTACTCGAACATATGTAACCTTGTCCAAACATAAACTTTATTTTAAAGGATTGGCGTGTGAAGGCATATATCGAGTCTCAGGTGTGAAGTCAAAGGTGAACCATTTGAGAGATCTTTACAACATCGGATCAACTGTGTACCTCGTTGATCATGAACCGAATGTTGTTGCTAGCCTCTTAAAACTATTTCTCCGTGAAATTCCAGAGCCTATTTTGACCTCAAAATTGATGCCAAAATTTGAACAGGCTTCAGGTAGGTTCTACATTATTTTTCTAATTTGATTTTATTGTAAAACTAACATATTTTAATTTTTTTGTGACTCGTTTGTAGTTAAACGATCTTATTTTTACAATGATCTGATGAAATTATAATATTTTTATAACTGTGTATACGTAATATAAAGTAAAAAGAAAATAATGATACACGAACAGTTGTTCCTATACTTTCAACAAATTCTATCTCTCGAGTTAAAAGAATACATAATGTAATAATTAACAATTATAAAATAATAAATTCAATAAAATAATACTAAATAAATAAAATTATATTTGACATTTGACATTTTTTATTTCATCAAATCAAAAGAAAGAAATCAAAGAAATGATATCAATGAAAAGAAATGATCTGGAAATCGAAAAGAAAATATGGTTTTCTTGTAATGATTACCAGTGACAATTGTAAAAATGAGAGCCTATTTTAAATATTTTAGTGCATGTAAACTCACATTCATATTACAAATCCTAAAAAACTAAAAATGGAATCATAATTATTAAGTAATCAACTCTTCTACATTTTTATCAGAATGTCGTTTGTAATTATTGAAACACATATATATATATAGACCCACGTAAAACATTCTAATTTGAGGTAGGATGGTACCTTCGTTAGACATGGTTGAAAAATGAAAAGTTTAGAATGCTCGGGATTTATGAAACACCCACCTTTGATCAGGAGGCGAAGGTCATTCATTGTCGGCAATGCAAACATGTCAACGACGAGTGTCGACGCAAAGGTCTTTAATACTGCTGTCGATTTGGGAAGTAAATCGTTATTGGCAGGAATTTTTTTGAAAAATCATTGGATTGTCGGTTAATTGACCATGTTCCCAAGCAATCGCGTGATAAGTTTGGCCGGATGCTGAATGACATTTTGAAAACATTTGCGATAATCCATCAGAATCTTTCCTGTGGTTCAGGTTGCTATTTATTCCTCACTTGGTTCTACACAAGGAGCTTTTTGGAAGTGGACGACACAATATTAGCGCTAAAATTAATAGCAGAGTGGACACTTTTGTCAAGGACTCAATTGAAGAATTGGTAAAATCTGTTAAACCAGTTGTAAAAGAGCAAGGTGAAATGGTTTGTAAACCAAAGCTAAGTGTTTTAGTCAAATCTAAAATAAAACAGGGCAACGTTAGAAATGCTATAGAGACTTTAGCTTCGACGGATACGATTGTGTAAATATCCATATGATTGTTGTTCTTGAATTTTCAAAGATGGCCGATAAATTTATTGTCACTGAATTAATTTATGGAACTGTCCATGTAACGGGTTCGATATTAACTAAACGCAACGACAGATATATTCTTAATTCCTCTTTATTAAAATCTAACTAATTAAATAACCGAGTAAATCAAATTAACGAAAATGCAACGATATAATAACCAACTTTACTAATGTCGAATCCGGCACAAGAGCCACAGAAAAGAAAAAGACTTAACTTATTTGTGCAGGCTATTTATAGACTTGCACGGTGCTCTCTCCTAGGTAAGTGCTTGTACTTTGTGGTCTAGTAGCCAACCCACGTGACCATACGGCGCTCTCCCCTAGGTAAGTACACGTGCTTTGTGCTAGTAACTAGCCCACGTGACCATGTAATGGAACAATTTCCATTACATGTCCATATAAATTAAATAATGTTAAGTTACAAAATGCTTGTATGCTTATTATTTCAACTTCAGGATTTGATGTTAAGCAGAAAATTTTGATTGAAACTTAACTTATTTGCGCAGGCTATTTATAGACTTGCACGGTGCTCTCTCCTAGGTAAACGCTTGTACTTTGTGGTCTAGTAGCCATCCCACGTGACCATACGGCGCTCTCCCCTAGGTAAGCACACGTGCTTTGTGCTAGTAACTAGCCCACGTGAACAATTTCCATTACATGTCCATATAAATTAAATAATGTTAAGTTACAAAATGCTTGTATGCTTATCATTTCAACTTCAGGATTTGATGTTAAGCAGAAAAATTTTGATTGAAAAAGGTAAAAAAAAATTTTTGAATTGTCAAGATTTGTTCAGAATCCGTGTGTACGTCGTGTGAAAAAGAAAAACAGCTTTTGTGGCGAAGATGGCTGCTTCAAATCAATGAATGAAGATATGAGGAACATAATAAAAGTTTATAGATGATACATATGTTACACTGTAAGTAGTTCTGTGTATGTCAGTGCTGCAATAATAAAGACTAAAAAAAGAATCAGGAAAAAAAACAAGGTTTTGATGTGTATTTTGTGCTATGCAAACTTATTTCGAAGGCCTTATTGATTGTAAGTTACCTACATTTGTTGCTACAAACTTCAACAAAAATCTTAAAAATAGTTCGATTCAGAATAAATTGAAGCCCATGTTAAAGTCAATAAACAAACATGGCGACATGCTGAATGATATACAATCAAACGTACAACAACTCGTGAACAAACTGGCTGAAACCAACTTATTGTGTGATATAAAAAAAAGTGTGCAACAACTGGTTGACAAGATTGCTGCCGGCATTAATATTAATGGCCGTAAAAACTTACCTGTGATAAGTTTTGAGAGTTTTGAGAGTTGAAAGTTTTGATAGTGATGCACCGAAGAAAATAATATTTGTTACTAAAAATGATTTGGTTGATAATTCTAATAACAATGATAATTTTGATATGATTATTAATAAAAAACGTTTGAAGCGTATTTCATCGACAGTAAAATACAGTTCTAAGGTTATCATTGGTCCGTTGTCATCTAATGGTTCTAAAATAACCGCAAGTAAAATTTTTTTGTGAAAGAGGATTTTTCATGTTGACAATGTTGTTAGAGGTGTGGCGGCTGATATAATTGAGTATCTTAAAACAATTAATGTCGACATGCTACCCTGCTTTTAAAAAGAAGGAAGGTGATGTCAAACCTGATGAATTTCAATTATTCACACCTTTTTGACAATGTATTGATGCTAAATACTCAGATATAATTACGAGAGATAGTTCTAAATTTATTTAATACTGCCAAAAAGCTTTAGTGCTGTCTTTCATTTTTCTAAAAATTTTTATCGTATAATTATTAATAAATTGAATTAACTTCTTAATATCTTTTTTGATTTTTTAAATTTATTAAATGGAAAACAGCTTTTAAGGATCAAATATTTTTTCCATGTCGTATTTTTATATCTTATCAAATTTTTTAAACACTAGGGGATAGTTGCATTAGATTTATTATTATTGCCTCTACTTTCTTTTCCAATCTTATTATGTGATTCATCAACAATCAATGGCAAAAGCTTATTTTAAGCTTCTAACATTACAACGGTAAAATATTTTCATAATTTATTGAGTTTGACAGTCACAACACTCAGCTGATACCGTGTTTAATTCAGTGTTAACATATTCTTTCATATATTCATACCTACCCCTGGTAAATCGAATTTAGGAAAATAACGTTCATTAATAAAGTTCCAATCATATTTAACAACAATAGCAAGGGAGATGTGTTCACTTCACCATTTCATATAGGGAGCTGTGAGGTTACCAATCTTATACACTAAATCCTTATCATGAACTAACAACTAATCTAATATGTTAAATTTCTGACAAGATCGATACCGAGTAGCCGTAGTTATCATTTGAAATAAATAGGTTTCTCACACAATTTAAACTCTTTAGAAATTTTAACAAGATTTATCAGGTTGATTCTATTAACAGTACATCCATCTTCATGGTTTTGGACAATTGTTTTATTCATTTTTCTAATTTATTTTTAAACTAAATTTTTGTAAATATTTTGAACATGTTTACAATTCACTCAGTTACGAAGAATGCAAATCAGCAACTTGAACTGATGCAGAATCTGATTAGAGAACTTCCAGTAGCAAACAGGACCTTGTTATCATGGGTCATCGTCCATATGTCCCAAGTTATTGAAAAGGTTGTTTTCTCTCCTTATTTTCATATTATAAAAAATGCAGGATAAATTTATTTATTTTGTAAATCACACTCTGTCAAACGCAGAGCGTGTAACAACATGCAATGTATATGCAGGATAAATTTATTTATTTTGTAAATCACACTCTGTCAAACGCAGAGCGTGTAAAATAAAAATTACGATTATAAAAAATATTAGTTACGTTAAGTAACTATTTTGTCTAAAGTTGATACTGTGTCTTCTAAGATTATCAGAGGTATTGATTGCATAAATTCTTGGTTGAAATGTAATTGTCTTGTTTTTAATAAGAATAAAACTGAAATGATGTTGGTTTGTTCTAGAGTTTAATTTTCTAAAATTAGTTCGAATGAAATAAATGTGTTAGGTTCTTTCATTAAACTGTCATCTGTAGTTATACATATTAGTTATGTAGTTATGTGTATTGTTGTTGTTGTTGCCTTTTCCGGGGGGCCCTCAGGATTTCAATCGAGGTTGGAGCCAATCCGCCACTGCAACAGGGTTGCTCCAGAGGTCTATTGGTTGAAGATTCGTGGAGTTTTGAGGACAGCTAAACAAATGTTGAACATCATCTGTATGATTGTTGCAGAAAGGACAGGTTTTGATGTGCCCACTGTCGATTCTGTTTTTGTAGCTGTTTAGAAGAATACTATGGCCAGATCGGAGTTTGGCGAGGGTCCATCTGATAGCCCTTGGGAGTGATTCTTCCGAAGGATCTATTTTTGGTGCTGGAGGAGGCCATCCATCGAGCAATAGTAGTGACTGGTACGACTCAGCGGCGGCTTTAGCAGTGTTTGTATGTAGGCTCATTAAAGCCGTCTTCAGAGTGTTATCGTCAGTTATTGTTGGTAGAACCGCATTTATTGTTGATGACCATTTTGAGAAGAGGGTGGTCTTTATGTCACGATGAGGACGAGGTTGTATGATGATATTACGGCACGGGCGGCTTGGGTTATGGCATAGGAGGAGGAATTGTGAGGCTATTAGCTCTGAATGCTGTCTTATTGTTAACATCTGGCATTCTGAGTATAGGTGTCGTTCTGATGCGACGGCATGGCAACCTGTAACCAGACGTAGTGCAGCATTCTGAGAGCGTTGAAAAACTTGAATCTGACGTCAGCGATGCCCTGATTAGACAGGCATACTCGATTGTTGAACGACCGATGGTTTTGTAGGTCTGTAGAAAAGTTTCCTTATCCTGACCGAAGGTTTTACCACTGAGTGCCTTTAAAATATTGGTTCTTTTAGAGGCCTTCGATGCTGCTTGTTTATGATGTTGTGAGAATTAAGAATTAAGAAAGAATTAAGAATTGAAAATTAAGAAAAAAGAATTAAGAATTATGTGTATTTAAGTGTTATGTTAGTTAAATCTTTAAATTTTAAATCTTTTTTATTTTAAAAATCTAAAATTAATTAAGAGATATGTGTCTTATGATGTATTTCAGCAACATGTAGCTTTTATCTTGACTCGTTTAGATTATTGCAATTGTTTAGTTTTTCCGGTTTATATTGATTTGCTTAAATCTATTCAATAGTTCAAAATACTGCAGTCCTTATCCTGACCGAATGTTTATTTGGATTTAAAAATTTGATGATATCTCCGAAAGCTTAAAGTCTCTTCATTTGTTGCCAGTTAGACAATCCTTAAAATTGCAGTGTTATCTTTTAAATGTATTACTGTCTTTGTCCAGGCTATTTAAAATCTGCTTGTAAGGTCTGTTGATTTGTTGTCCTATTGTATATCTCTTCTTCTTTTAATAGCATGGTATTTTTATCATTGTTTGTTAACTTATTTATATAGAGAACAATGTTTTTAAACTACTTTTTTATTCATTTTTATGTTATATTTTTATCTTATACGGGCATGAGAATTTCCGACCTGCTCCCGCAGGTAGGTTAGTCAGTTACGAGTACGTAAAATACGCCCTCTCTCACCACGACCAAAGGTGCATTATTGTGATCACCTAACTCGATCTAGGCTAGACGCATATTGTCCTTTATGAGACTCATCTGTAGCCCGAGTTAGAACACTAACTTTGTGCAATTATTCTCAAAAAATTTTGCAAACTAAGGTGTTTTTTAGGTAATTCACAAAAACACATTTTGGTCGATAAGGGAATACTGTTATTTTGCTAAACTTCTCTCGTTTAATACTTATATTATATTACAAACTACAGATGTTAGAGAGACTGGTCTGTAGTTTGAAGGGTCTAATTTGTTTTTTTTTAATTAACGTTAGCACATAGCCACAATTCTGGCAATTTACCGCTTTGATAAGATTTATCAAATATTAATATTAGTGCTCATATTTTTCAATTCTCTTGTTACCCATGAATGTTTACTATTTTTATTACAATGATTGTCTGTTTTCATTTTTGGAACATATTTATGGCAGCTTTCATTATATAATTTTAATCATTTATAGTAACATTCTTTTACATCTTTATAATGTGAACTCTCTTTTATTTCCAGAAAAACATGAAATATAGTAAAATGAGATAAAAGTCTAATTAAAATCTAACAAAATAAAATAAAATAAATAAAGTTGATTAAATGAAATTAAGTACAATAGTATTCTACGATGCTCATCATTTGAAATAAATGAGTACAACGAGATATAGTTAGTTTTAAACGAGCAGTTCAAATGTTATTACGTTCACAGTAGGTGGCATAAGATGACGGTATTAGAGAGTTAATAAGGTTATTATAAAATTGATCTGACCAAATGTTATTGATTAATGATAAATTTAAAAAATTGCAAAAACCCAATGTTGAAATCTCAAAAGTATTAACTATTATTTTCAGGTGTATTGAATTGTCATGCAAATTATTTTTGAGATTTTCTGAGTATTTGGTGGCTTTATATTCTTTTGAGTTGAGTAGGTTGGATTCATGGCAGACTGTCAGCTCCAATATTTCTATTATGTCGTCACGAAGTATTGCGATGTCAGGACGTAGGGATTTGAAGAGACAAGACACTGGAGGGATCCCATCATAATCCACATCGGCATATATCGAAACCTCTAGACCTGCGCATGTTTTCAACCTTTCTATAATTATGTTTAAAATTATGTTGTGACGCGTTGTGAATCTTTTCAGTGCTGCTGTTAGACAGAACATGTTTGTTTGTTTGCCACGCTTTACACAATGGACAGTCAGCCGTTGATGATTTGCCCCATCTAAACAAATTTGCATTTGTGGGGAGTTGTTGGATGAGACTTCTCCTAACAAATTTGAACAGTACTTCTGAGAGGTTTGCAGTGAATTTCGACCAGTGAGCAATTCTAGCTGCGGGAATCCGGTCTTTGATCACTTTTAAAATTGTCTCTTGGCAACAGAGTAGCGATAGATGTTCGAGTTCTGCATTTTGTTGTTGGATCGTTAGCATGCTGAGTGCCGGTTTTATGTCCTTTGAGTCAATTGTCGATTTTTATATAGTTGCTATAGTTCTTGAGTTCTTTGGTGCCGTTTGATTTCAGGTAGCTACGGAGTTTTAATCTCAAAGATTCGGCACAATTTTTGAGAGATCTAACGTTTAGGCCGCCTAATTTATATGGGAGCGACAATGTCTCCGACAGACAGCTACTAATGGGCAATGACAGCCATGACACCATGATCTTACTGTTTTGGTGATTAGGGTGTCCAGATGCATACTAATCCAAGTCAGTGAAATGCTGTACATGCAAAATTCAAATGCAAATTGGGATTGAAGATATTTTCTAAGGATTTCAAGCTTCCACTGAACTGTTGTATCTAGTTCATTGACGGTTAATAGTAATGTTTTGAGTTTGATAATCATCTGGTTTTTGATGTTCGTGTAGTTGCCTTCGAAATCATATTTTTTCTCCAGATATTCGAAATAACCTCCGATGTCAACATGGGGGATTTGTTTGATGTCGATCGATAGCGCCGGAAGGAATTGTTCGTAAACTCCGCTGCGTTTTCGCATACCGATCGAGAAACATTTGTCAATTTTCAAACTCATTCCAGTTGCTTTGCACCAAGTGTGATTTACATCTATGAGTTTTTGAGCACTTTCGGTGCTGTTGGCGATAATGGCCGTGTCGTCTGCGAACTGAAGCCACGCTTTTGTCTTTAAGCTAGCTGGCGGACCCCATATGTACCCGCATTGTTGGTACTCTGTTTGTTCTATGACTTTCATCAGGGGGTTGAAGCAGAGGTTGAAGAGCAGTGGAGAGACGGGATCACCTCTAGTTGGTCACATCCGGAAATAATAAAATAATAATAATAATAATGTCATTTTAAATAGCGCCATGGCAAGCGTTTGAGGCGCATTATCATCATTACAACAAACACACGGTGCATAAATACACGTGAATCAACGCATTACACTTTTTTGCATGTGATAGGCGGGGATCTTTTTGCATTCGAACCCGGACACTGCATCAACAATGCCAGACACCTTAGCCTTTACACCATCGCGCCGCTTGATCTTTGAATAATAATTCCCAATCCATATTAATAAAAAATTTATTTAAACTACATAATTGTTTTTTTCATATAAAAATTTTTCTTTCACATTTTCTTTATTTTCTTCCGAATCATTTTCTTCGGAATAAAGGAAAAGTATGTGTGTGTGTGTTTGTTTGTGTGTTTGTAAGTGTTATAACTATTCATAATAACATTTAAGCATTTTTTTTATCATAATTTAATTATTATATGCCATGTAGTTCTGGGCATGACATAAAACTGCATCTACGCTGCCTTGCGTGCTTTTGAGCAAAAGGTTAGGCCAACCGTTTATAATTGGTGGTTGTCGTCAGGATGGGTGTTCGGATGTAAAAAGTTTCCCCAAAATTTATTCCATGCCATCACATGTTTTTTGTTCTTTGAGTTTGAATCACTATAGCTATATCTAAATTTCAATATATGATGACCGTGTTCAATGTTTCTCAGAGGTGGTGAGTTTTACAACATGTTGTTGTTGTGTTGTCTACAAAAACGGCGAGGACATTGTATCGCTATAAAGTGATATTCGACTTTCTGTGAGATAGTAGATAACTTCTTAAACCAAAATCTGATGTGCATAGTTTACCACAATGGGGGCATCGAGGACCAGTTGGTTTCAATTCTCTTGATGTTGCTGCATGACGTATAAGTCGACGCCTGTAAGAGGCATTTGTCCATTCCAACATAAAACTTGTCAGACCAGCTTTACAAATCTTTTTCCATGTAGACCGATCTTTCGCTATTTTTTCAAGTCCAGCCGAGTTGATGTTACATTTCTGAAATACGCTTTTCACTTTGTCTACGAATTGCTTCTTTAGCCGACCGACTGAACGACAGCCATTTGATAGTTCGCTGTATAACAAACTACGAGATAAACGAGACTTCGCCATAAGAATATCATGACCTATCAAGCACAGCTGTTATTGTAACAATAGATATTCGGCCGGTGTAGTACATACAGCCTTAAACTAGGAAATAGATTTTGTGCCACCATCTTATTTCAGGAATGCTGCGAAGGCAGCTGTTATGTGCAGGACACATCGCTAATTATTGTCCTATTGTTTATGGACGATAATTTATTGTTAAGGTGACTCTAATTGTGAACATGCTTTATTGTATTCGTTCAATTCGTTGATTATAGAACTTGTTACTCGTTATATTTATTTAGCCGTAATAAGATAGTATACGTGCATTACGCTTATTGTTGTCTAATTAGTTTAGTTTCAACTCTTCAAATCACAAAACACGACAGTGACGCAGTCGACAGGATCCCCGATTTACGGTGGATACAAATTCAAGAATGGCGGAAATGAAGGAGATGATGAAGATGTTTACTGAAATGATGTCGAAGCAACGGTTAGAAATGGCAAAGATATTGCAATCTTTTAAAGCCACGCCAGTACCGAAATTCGAATCATTCCATCCCGAAAAGGAGTTGTTTAAAGACTACATCAAAAGGTTTGAAACTTTCTTGCTGGCCAATTCAGTCTCGAAGCAAAATGCAGCTCAGGTATTTCTTACAAATCAGAGTTCGGATATATATAAAACCCTGGAGACGGTTTCAAAACAAATGTTTCCACCTCGTGATGTAAACTCATTGGATTTCAAGGAGATGGTCGAATATATGAATTCAGCTTTCAACCCTACAACTTTTCTGATTAGGGAACGCTACAAATTCTGGACAAACTGCAAAAGAAAACCGGGCGAATCAGTTCAAGAATTAGCAAACCGAATTCGACAGTCTGCAGCTACATGTGATTTTCTCAATATTGAAAACCCATTAGATGAAGCGTTGAGGACAAATTTTATTTGCAACATTCAAAATGAAGCAATTTTGAAAGCTCTTTTCAGGATTCCAGAAGCTCAGCTTTTCTTTTCCAAAGCTATCAAGATTGCAGATGAAATTGAAAGTGCAGCAATAGTAGCTAAAGATACGGTCTATGGGGGTACGTCTCACAGTGATCCGGTTCTGCTGGTACATTCCAGAGGTAACACGGGGGTTTATGTAAAATAGATGAAGAAAGATCCAAAAGGGGCTTTCAAACCAAGTAGAAATTTTGGAAAGTTCCATCCAAATTTCAATTCGTCATGCCAAAGATGTTGAAAACATGGCCACTGGGCTTCAAATTGTTCCTCCAAAGGGATGAAATGCTCACAATGCAATAAAATGGGTCTCTAAACAAGTGTGTTTTGCTGCCAAATTCAAAAGAAACGTCTTAACCATAAAAACTTTTAAAGAGGATGATCAACTGCAGCAAGAGCTACATTTTAAGAACTTCGACAAAACTTTTGAAATGGACAGTGGTGCCAGAGAAAATTTTTGCGATGTCAGCGTCTGGGAAGATTTAGGTTCCCCTCCTTTGGTTTCGGTGAGTTCTCAGTATCGTTCACCAACCGGCAATAATATCCCAGTCAGAGGTGCTTGCTCAGTAGTTGCCACGATTTCAAATAGTTTAGACTAGAAACCTATAAAAATTAACGTAACAGACATTCCGGGTTTAAATTTAATCGGTCGAAGATCAATTAAAGATTTCGAAATAGATATCAACAAGATGTTGAGAGAACAGCTCGGTTGTCTATGTAGAATTTTGAATTGGACATCGAATTCCGAGAAAATACAACATCGGTTTTCAGAATACCACGAACTGTTCTTTTTCAATACAAGACAAAGTAGATGAAGCTCTGGAAGATGGGGTGAGGCGAGGAATTTGGAGCTCCACTGATATCAATGACTGGGGAACTCCTGTAGTCCCAATAATTAAAAAAGGTACAAACTCCAAAACCAATCTACGAATATGTGGTGATTACTCAGTAACAGTTAATCCTCAACTCGAGTTTCACAGATACCCAATGCCTTTGCCTGAGGACCTCATGAGAAAATTAGCCGGGAGTTTGTATTACGCCAATATCGATCTGGCCGATGCATACAATCAGATTCAACTTTCAAAAGAGAGCCAGAAACGCCTTGCTTTAAGCACACATCGAGGTGTGTTTCTTCAAAAACTTTTACCTTTTGGTATACTATCGGCTCCAGCATATTTCCAGGAAATCATGAATGGACTCACTAATGATCTTCCAAATGTGGTGGTTTACTAGGATGACATTTTGATTCGTGGAAAATCAGCAGAGGAACACATCCAAAGTTTGAGAAAACTATTTCAGCGTCTCCAAGAAAAGAGTCTTAAATGCAATTGCCATAAATGTTCATTTGCTAGACAATCTGTTGAGTACTTGGGTCATACCATTTCTCATAGGGGGATAGGCCCAGGTAAAAAAATTGATGCCGTAGTTTCAATGCCCCGACCAGAAAATGTTTCAACATTAAAATCATTTCTTGGATCGGTTCAATTTTACAAAAAGTTCCTTCCAGGTTTGTCTAGCGTTGTGGAACCATTAAATCGTCTGACAAGAAAGAATGAATTGTGGAAATGGACATCGGATCAAGAAAATTCATTTCAAGGTTTAAAGAGGATGATATTTTCAAGTGTGATGTTATCGCATTTCGACAAATCATTACCAGTGGAAATAGCATGTGATGCTTGAGAAGTGGGTATTAGTGCCGTTCTATTCCATAGATTCCCAGATGGATCAGAACGTCCTGTTTTCAATGTTTCAAAGACACTTTCAAGTGCTCAGAAAAATTACAGCCAGATTCATAAGGAAGCACTTGCAATTATTTTTGCCTTAAAAAATTCCATTCATACCTGTTTGGAAGAAAGTTCACAATTGTGACGGATCACAGACCACTTCTAGCTTTATTCGACCCGACGAAAGCTACTCCTAAACTGGCATTAAACCGACTGACAAGATAGGCTCTAATTTTACAACAATACGACTACATGGTTAAATACAGGAAGACTTTAGAACACGGAAATGCAGATGTGTTGAGTCGCTTACCATCGGTTGAAAATCCAAAATTTGATGCTGCAGAGGAGCAACTGGATTTTTCAAAGGTGTGTACAATTAGCTCAGTCAGCCAGAAAATGTTGCATTTAGATCTAAAGTTGTTTGAGAATGAATCGCAAAAAGATCTGGTTATTTTTAATGTCGGTAAATTCCTTCAGAAGGGCTGGCCAAGAGAAATTTCAAGCAAGGAAATTCTACATTTTATGAAATTAAAAAATTCCTTGAGTCAGGCAGGAGGCTGTTTACTGATGGGAAACAGAGTGGTAATCCCAGAATCTTTCAATAAAAGCCCTCGAACTTTTACATCTGGGACACTTTGGCATGCAAAGAATGAAGCAACAGGCACGATCAGCGATTTATTGGCCAAACATGGACAGAGACATCGAAAGATTGTGCAGAGAATGTTCATCATGTCAAGAACATCAGAACAATACTCCTAAAGCGCCCAACGAGCCTTGGCCTGTTCCGGATAGACCTTGGGGTAGATTACACATCGACCATGCCATAACCTTTATGGGAACAAATTGGCTCGTGATCGTGGATTCCTTTTTCTAAATATCTAGTATCCATCCAACAAAAAAAATTACGGCATCGTCAACTATTGACTTACTAGAACAGGAGTTTACACATTTTGGATACCCGCTCACAATGGTAACTGATAATGCTACAACTTTCACTTGTTTGGAATTTCAACTCTTTTTGAAAGAGAGGGAGATTCAGCACCTTACAGGTGCCCCATACCACCCGGTGACTAATGGTCAAAGAAATGATCTGTGAACGATTTTTCAACTGCATCTGTAAAAATTTGTTAAAAAATATTAATAACAGTGCAAATAATAAAAATAAATTTAATAAAAACAATAAATTAAAAAAAGTTGAAAAGTAAAAAAAATTATATAATAATATAATAATAATAACTCTAATACTAATATACTAATTATTTGTATTAAATTTTTTAATTAATTCGGAATGATTTATTTTTTGTATTGGTTAACTAACAAAAATTAAATCATAAAATGATTGATAATTTTGGCTTGTTAGGGAAAATTTTATGATATGTTAAGTGAAATATTTATTTCTTGAAGGAGCATTCCTTATTCAAAATATCTCGTTATTTTTAAATCACAGATGATAATAAATTTTTTTAAAATTTTTGTTTGTGAATGAGGCACTTGCATGATGAGCATTTTGTAATGTTTTCAGGAAAAGTTTAATAAGATGAGTTTGCAAAACATTTCAATAGTCCTAAGTCCCACAATGAAAATCAGTCACAGAGTTCTCAATGTTCTTTTTACTTATTCATCTGTTCTCTTCAAGGACACTGTCATCAAAAAGTAATTTTAACATTTCATATGTATATGTATATATATATATATATATGTGATTATATATATATATATATATATATATATGATTATATATATGATTATATATATGACACTGTCATCAAAAAGTAATTTTAACATTTCATATGTATATGTATATATATATATATATATATATATATATGTGATAAAATCTACCGAATTTTTAGCTTTTCAATATGTCTAACACAGTGTTGTCCAACCTTTTTGTTCAGAGGGCCAGATTGACAATTTAGCTAGAAGTCGCGGGCCGGATTAAAAATTTGATAGCCAATTTTGCATTATTAACAATAAATAAAAGTGTAACACATAATAATGGATATATATTTTTTTATTACAAAATAAAAGTATATATGTAAATACATTAATGTCTAATTTTAGTGAGAAATTTGACATTGTTTGCGTTTATATAAGTACTCTATATCTGCTCCAACATTTGAAGTCGCTATACGCAATGAGGCTGTAAAACGCCCATCTTTAAGTAAAGATCTTGACTTCGTCTTTGTTTTTTTCATTCTTGAAAACAGTTGTTCACAGCAATAAGTACTACCAAACAAAGCGATAAACTTCTTGACATCTTCTGTCAAATTAGGATAACTTTCTGACAATATGTAACACTTGTAGAAAGTTAGCAAATCATGTTCCACAAGAGATCTCTTCAAATCACTGTTATTCTGAAGATCAATTAGCTCCATTTGGTATTTGTCAGCAGCATCAGTGGGGTCAACATTAAATGGGTTACTTAGAAATTTCATAAAGTCATTGTGCTTTTTAAAATCCTGAAACCTTTGCTGGAAATCATCGATCAGTTTGAAAAGTAGTTCATTGTACTTTTCATGCTGCACTGTGTCCATAGAGGTCTTGTGGAAAGAATTGCACAATGTATTACTTTTTTCTGAACCATCTGTTTCTGAACTAACTTTAACTTTTCAATAAAAGTAACAATGTGTTCATACAATCTGTGCACAAGCTGGTACTTTCCTTGAAGTCTAACATTCAATTCAGCCATACATTTTGTCCTTTAAATCAAAAATGCCAAATCATTCAACCAGAAGTTGTCATCCAAAAACGCTATCTCCTTTTCTTTGTTAACTATGAATGTCTTTATTTCATGACGTAACCTCCAGAATCTGGATAGCGTGGTTGACTTGCTTAGCCACCGAACTTGGCAAAAGTATACAATATCATCATAATCTGAGCCCACTTCTTCAAGAAATGATTTGAATTCCCTGTGGTTAAGACCTCTAGATCTGATAAAGTTAACAGCTGACACAATCTTTTCCATTACATCCTTCATGTCAAGGGTCTGGCACACAAGTTTTCTTGGTGAATAATACAGTGGTATGTAATGATATCCTGAGGCACTGATTGTGCTAACAAGGTTACAAATCCACTCTTCTTTCCTATCATACTTGGCGCTCCATCTGTTGTTACACCAGCAAGTTTGTTTTTGAAAAGCTGGAATTTTTCCATTGCCAGAATAACTTGTTCAAAAATATCCTTTCCAGTTGTTGTGCTCTTCATTGGGCACATGTCCAACAGTTCCTCAACTATATCAAACGTTTTCCTAATTCCTCTAACAAATATTGCTAATTGAGCAGTGTCACTGATATCTGTGCTCTCATCAACTGCCAAACTATAATATTCACAATCGTTAAGTCGCCTGACCAAGGTATCTTCAATATTTTTCGCCATATCGTCAACTCTTCTACCAATAGTTTGATGGGAAAGACTCACGTTTTCCACCAAAGACTTTTGTTGGGCAAACAACATCTGTAAATATCTCAAAGCAGTTTTTCACCAGTTCTCCATCAGAAAATGGTTTTCCTCTCTTGGCTATAGCTTCTGCAATTAAATAGCTAACTTTTGTTGCTGCATCGGCACTCTGGTTGCCAATTTTAAACAATGACTGTTGAGCAACAATTTCCTGTTTCATTGAGTTGATGCGATCAGTTCGTGTTTGGCCCACCACACTATCAAATTTACTGCTATGTTTAGAGCAGTAATGTCGCTTGATGTTATATTCCTTGTGAACGGCAATTGTTTCTTGACAAATGAGGCACAAAATAACATCGGCTTGCTGCACAACAAAATAACTTTCTGTCCACGAACTTTTAAAAATACGATTTTCAGAATCAATTTTACGTTTTTTATCGACGGACGTCATAATATCGTCTGCTTGTTACGTTTTATTTACGTTGTCCTTTGCGTCGTCAAGGAAACTATTTTAAATGGATCGCGGTCGTAGCGCATTATTATTAATTAATGTTTTTATTAATACAAGAGTTTAAATTATTTTTAAAAAGTTTAAAATTTTCATCTAACCAACTCAATAAAAATACTTTAAATTTTATATTTTGAATATTTTTCTAAGAAGGCCGGCGGGCCGGATGAAAACCTTTGGAGGGCCGGATTCTGGCCCGCGGGCCGCTGGTTGGACAAGCCTGGCTAACATTAATTTTTTAATTATTATCCAATTTACTAAAATTAATTAGAAAATCGTTGGTGTTCATAGTGAAGCGTATATGGGCCATATTTTGATTTTACTCATCTTTAGCGCTTAAATATGAATATTTCAAGATTTCACAATTTTTTATGTGTACAAAATTTTTTTATTCTTTTTTGTCCTGTGCCAAGTGCTTTTATTCTGCCTTTTATTCTCTAAACATTAATAAATCGGTAGAATTTGTTACATATTTCAAAAATTCGGTCTTCTACCGGCATATATATATATATATATATATATATATATATATATGTGTGTGTGTGTGTGTGTGTGTGTGTGTGTGTGTGTGTTTGTGTGTGAAGTTTTTTGGCGCGCATGTGGAATGAATGGCGCAAGTGTGTATATGTTAGCGCGCATGTTGTATGAAATGGTCAGGTGGGCAGGTTGGTCGAATGTTGTATGAATTGGTTTTGTGTGCAGGTTGGTAGAATATGGTATTTAAATAGTGAGTATGTTTGAGAATGAATGTTTTCTCAGTTTTTTTAGAATTTTAGTATATAAGCGTTCTGGACAATTGTTAAAAAGAAAAAGGAAAGTTAGTGTTTTAAGTTAGTGTTTTGGATTAGTATTTTGAATTAGTTTTTGGGTTTATTGAGGTTGGTAATTGGTCGGTCGGTACCTGCATGTTTGGTTGCTCTGGCGTTTCTTGTTTTGGAATTTCATTCATTATTACGGCTAGTAAAAATATTTTTCGTTTATTAAGAATATTTAATTTAGTTCTGTCGTTGACTTTAAAAATATTTGATTTAAAGAATATTATAAGTCAATATTGTTTTGTTTGTTTTATTTTTGTTTATTAATAGAATTATTTCAGTTAGGTTTTGTTTGTCACTTTTAAAAACTAATACATGTTTGAAGGAGACTTGCTAGCGGTTAATAGGGCCGGATTAACCGACCAGCAAGCAGGGCGCGATAATTCTTCCGCCCGGCCCGTATTTTTCGACCCGGAAATAAAAAGTTGTGAAGAAGAGGCGAGTCCCGGTCAGAAGCGAGACTGCCTAGACTGGCGGCGGCTGTTGTTGATATTCGAGCGAAGGAAAAATTTGGCCAGCGGCAAAAGTTCACACACACACAACACACACACACACACACACACACACACATATATATATATATATATATATATATATATATATATATATATACACACACACACATGCAATATTTGATAAAATCTATCGAATTTTTAGCTTTTGAAAGTTTACGTTGGGCTTTTCAATATTTCTAACAGTAGTTTTATAATTATTTTCCAATTTATTAAAATTAAGAAAATCGTTGGTGTTCATGGTGAAGCGTATGGGCCATATTTCGATTGTACTCTTTATTGGCGCTTATATAGTATCCTCTGAGCTTTACCGCTCCTGTTGGTGTTCATGGTGAAGCGTATAGGCCATATTTCGATGTTATTCATCATCAGCGCTTATATAGGGATATTTCAAGGTTTTACAATTTTCTGTGTGTGTAAAGTGTTTGTATTCCGCTTTGTCCTGTTCGTTTATTATATTTTGGTCCTGTCCTTTTATTATACCTTTGTTCTGTTCATTCTCTTTGTTTTGTTCATTCTCTTAATGAAAGGCTTAACAAGCAAAGAGTAACGATTTTCTTATTAATTTTAATAACTTGGAAAATAATTTAAATGTTGATGTCACATGTCTGTTTAAATGTGAAAATTCAAAAATTGCTAAATAAAAATTATCATTGATTCTGAATATTCAACTGAAATAAAACCATTTTTTGTTTTAAATAGTTTTTCCCACTCAGCTTCTCATAAATATTTACAAACTGCCTTAACTATTCCATTGGGCGAATTTCAATCAATACCCATGCTCTTTTTTAAAGTTTATTTGAGTAAATGTAGTATACTGAGACGGTCAAACCTAAGTGTTCAGATATTGTTTAATATCTCAAGTCGTTAAGGAGCGTAACCCGCATGGGACAGCTAATTGTTTTATAAGACTCGTGAACCTAATATTGCAACATGCAACAGGCATGGAAGTCTCGATATACTAAGTGAAGTAGAATGAATTTCAATTCATTAAATAGATGCGTTAAAAACTTTTTTAAATAAATTTTGAGGCATATTTATCATGTATTTCCTGAGATGGTGACAGGCGATATTGACAGGTAAACTGATGACTTTTTTGCATAATTTGCATTGAACATGACTGCAGATACGTTCCTCCTCTGAAACCTGCCACTTCAAGATGGACTCTAGAACTACCTGAATGTTCATCGGCAATCGAAGAAGAACTGAAGAAGCAGGAATCACTACTGAATCACCTGCATGAAGACCTTATGAAGGTTTGTTACATTATAAGTTTACATGCCTGCATTATAATGCCGGTAAACTCAAGTGTCGAAGTCAGAGTCGGAATTTTCAGGAGTTAATGTCAGATAAGTTTCAACTAAGTCTGGCTCCGCAAAGTGTTGAGATTTTTAATTTTTATCTTAAGGATAATTTTTCAAACTTAATTACGGTTGCATTATTAATTACTTAATTACGGTTACATTGCTCAATCGAACCATAGTTACAAATTAGGCTTCGTAATTGACTAAAAATAAATATTGTTACAATTACAATAACCAATCAATCAATCTTCGTTTAGCGTCCAGAGACCCAGTTCCTCCGAGGAAGGACGTTGTTTTCTTTGCCATCAACTTTTTGCGCCAAATTAGACGATCAGTATCCATTTCATTTAAATTTAGAGCTTTCATGTCTTGTTCGATTGTTTGCGACCAAGACTTCTTGGACGGCCTTTGGGACGTGTGCCAGGAACTTCACCATCTGCAAGAAAAGTTATGGCACTGTTTCCACTTCGTTTGACATGCCCAAACCACCGCAGACGGTGTTGCCGGCATTCGTCCTTTATATCATCTAAACCAGCACGACGCAGGATTTCGGTAGATTTGATGTGGTCCTTCAGACTAATTCGTTGCATCTATCAGAGCATTTTCATATTGGTTCGGTGAAATTGCTGTTCCAGTTTGGTTGTCATTGGCCATGTTTCTGCACCATATAATAACACCGGACGTATCACAGATTTTTAAAGTCTTGATCGTAGTGGCCGCGCTGCATCCAACGACGCGATGACGGTTGTCGGATGACGCTGGGTCACAAACTGCGTGTTGATGGGTTGAAATGTATTCAACGTAGGATGATATTCATATCAATGCTCAAACGTATCATCAAATCCAATGTCTCCGTTCCCAAAGAAAGCTACCGACTGAAGTTCATAATTTATTACAACACCAACCGAACATCCAGCTTTATCGTTAAAAATAACAACACACGTCCCCCCAACAAACTAGAGAGAACCAATCTCGTATACCGATTTTCTTGTCCCGTGCCACACTGTGTTGTGGAGAGTTATATCGGCCATACGAAAACTACTCTCTCTAGAAGACTCACCATGCATACACAGAATGGTGCCATTAAGGACCATATGGAACGGGTACATCATCAACCGCTTACGAGGAACATATTGGATCCCAACACAACGATCCTTGATTATGAACCCGATCCAGTCGCCTAA